AGGTTCATTAGAAGACTGAATTATAGGTGTAAAAAAACTAACAGAACTCCAATTACAACAGTCAATGCTCAATATTACTCATAAACTTAGAATAGCACACATTCAAATAAACATCTCGTTGACATAAAATTCCTTTTAGCTCTTCTTTGTCAAAAAGCTTTACATGAAAATCTTTCTTAATACAAAAAGCAAAGCAATGTTCCACTACAATCACGTGTATTTGAGGTCCCTATACAATTGATTTCCTGGAAAGAACATTGTGAGTATATTTGGATTCTACGTGATAAAAATATCTACTTGTTTAGAACATCAAAAAAGACAAAGGTGGCAAGGTAAAATTTCAAAGATTTGAGTGTTCTTCACCTTGAGATTTACTTGAGTTTTATTTTTGCACTTCTAATTTAATTTAAAGAAACAAGGCACTAATTACCTTGAACTACTTTTGTCATGAAACACTTTTTGGCTTATCCTTGAGCAGGGCAAGATCTGTCACTGCAGTGCAAATGATTCAGGTTTTGTTTTCAGAAAGCCTTACAAACTAAGCTTTCATAAAACTACAGTAACCTCTTCTTAGTTCATTTGACCAAAGACAACCAAAAGCATATTAAAGAACAGAAAAAGTTTTCTTACAGTTAATATTTTTCCCTACTAATATCTATTTTGATCATAATTAGGGACAAAAGTACAAAGTGCCACTTCTTAGGGAACACAATTAGATTTTTCATACAAGTTCACAAACTCCACCTAATAACAGCAATTGCTTGATTCCTCAAAGGAAGGCAACATTTCCCACCATCCACTAAGCTGACCATACTATGCTGGACATGAGGGGAAAGTTGGGGGTTTGCCTGTTCAGGTAAGTCCTCCACCCTGAAACATGAAATTCAGCTTGTTTGAATGCACTTCACAGAATTATAGAATCATCAAGTCCAACCATCAATGCAGCACTACCACTGTGACCCCTAAACCACTAAACTGTATCACACAGATCCAAATGCAGATGCCTTTTAAAAACCTCCAGGGATGGTGACTCCACCACCTCCTTGGGCAACCTACTTCAATACCTGATCACCCTAACAGTGAAAAAGTTTTCTCTAATATCTAATCTGAATCTCCCCTGTCTCAGCTTAAGGTCATTTCCTCTAGTCCTCTCACTGTAGGCACAGTAAAAGAGACCTACCCCCACCTCAATGCACCCTCCTTTCCCAAGGTACCTCCTGAGCCTCCTCTTCTCCAGACTAAACAAACACAACTTCCTCAGCTGTTCCTCATAAGACATGTTTTCTAGACCTTTCACGAGCCTTGTGGCCCTTCACTTCAGTATCCCCAGGTCCTTTTTAACGTGAGGAGCCCAGAACTGGACACAGAACTCAAGGTGTGGCTTCACCAGTGCTGAGTACAGGGGTATGATCACTTCCCTGGTCCTGATGGCTACGCTATTCTAGATGCAAGCCAGGATGCCTTTGGCCTTCTTGGCCACCTGGGCACAGGCTGGACCTGGCACTTGGTCATGTTGAACCTCATGGTGTTGGTCTCATCCCATCAATTCAGCCTGTCCCAGGTCCCCCTGCCGGGCCTTCCCACCCCCCACCAGGCTGACACCCCAACCTAACTTGGTGCCATGCACAAATTTGCTAATGGTAGACTCAATCCCCTCACCTAGATCATCGATAAAGATGTTAAACAGGACTGGGCCCAACACTGATCCCTGGGGGACACCACTAGTGACCAGACGCCACATGGACGCAGCATTGTTCACCACCACTCTCTGGGCCCAGCCATCCAGCCAGCTCTTAACCCAGGGAAGAGAACACCTGTCGAAACCATGGGCTACCAACTTTTCCAAACTTCTTCAGTGAAAGGGTGGTTAAGCACTGGAACAGGCTGCCCAGGGACATGGTGGAGTCACCACCCTGGCACTGTTCAAGAAGCAGCTACATGTGGCACTTAGTGCTGTGGTTTAGTTGGGCGTGGTGGTGTTCAGTCAAAGGTTGAACTCGATGATCTTTTCAAATCTTAATGATTCCATGGTTCTTTGACTCTAAGATGTAACACCCTTCCAAACTGCAAGGGGGAAAGAGATGGGCAGCTGTGTTGATGAGGCAGACCAAATACTGTTCAGAGACACAGACATCCTACTTCCCAAGCACAGGGGCAACTCACTATTCTGCTAGGTGGCTTTTACCTATTTATTTTTATAAACTTATTTTCAGTGAGTCACCTCAACAAACATGCTGTTCAAGTAGCATGTTCAACGTTTTGAGAGGCTTATGATAAAAGATCATCAGAAGACAGTAAGAATTTCAGCTTAGAAAAACAAGAATTCAAAATAATGTTAATAGTCTATTTAGAAGTAGAAAGATTTCAGATGTCACAGGTGCTATGAATAAGAGAGCAGATACTCGTGACAACTTCTTTCTTCTCTAGAAGCGGAAAATCTTTTCTGGAGAGAAAAGCAAGACAGAAGAGGCTTTTTTTTTTTTTCCTTTTAGAAACACCCATTTTGATAATAGTTACCTACAAGACATAAGTAGAAATTCACTCTGCAATTTATCTTTACTATGCTTGAAATTAAAAGCACAGCAGAAAAAGAAACAATAAAAAAATCAAGCAATCTAAAAGAAGAATCACTGAAAACGTGTAGATCATCAGAGAGGCAACAGAAAAAATTCTGGCAGCTGTCAACACTATACACACAAAAAAAGTGCTTGAGAGTAGATGGTTTCTCTTAAGAGTTAGGAAACTATCAAACAGTAACAGTAACATTCACGACCTTGGAGGGTATATTCTATGAAATTTTTGTATTTGGATAATGTAGTTGCACTTTCCGCTGCTACAAAGTTGACAAAATAAGAGCACAGGGCGGAAAACACAACATTTCCAAGCACAGTTTCCACAGCCACTTGTGGGAAGTCAAAATCACAGCCAGTTCACTTCTCTTCACACACCTGCTTAGCGTTCCCTCTCTTTCCTTCTAAAACTTGAGCAATTTCATTAACCTATTAGAAGACTTCAACCTGAATTTCAAAGGTAAAAGTTTAATTTGACAGTTGCCATTTGGCCTTAACCTTTAATAACTTGAGATGAAGAACATAGGAACAGTCATGCTGAGTCTGACAAATAGTCTGCTTAGCCAAGTACCATTTCTCCTGCAGTAGCCATAAACAGACACCTAGGTGAAAGGCTTTTTGACAGAAACCATGGTCTTGTTAAAATGCCTCCAGAAAAATAACAGGAAGACTTCTCTCCATTTTTCTGGTAGCTGAAAAATGGGTCAGGCCCTCCGCAGACACAAGCATTACATTAGGTCACTTCTGTCAGGAAAACAGTTGTTCCTGATCCTGCTTTTACCAGAGAAAACACTACATTCCTAAATGGAAAACCAGGAGAAATGGAAGGACTGTGAGCAGAAATCACCACAAAAAGTATCACAAGAACCTTTATGAAGAAGCAGAAGTACAGTCAGTGAAGCTATGAACTTCAGCTTCTGAGAGACTGAAGTTAACACTTAGATGGCTTAACTGATCAAGCCAGTCAGTAATGGTTAACATGACTGGCCACAAAAGCAGATAGTTGACCTTTGTGTGTTAAATCTTGCTTAGAAAATCTACCCTCTATTGCAAGTACAAAGATTACCACAATGACTACAATTTAAGCCTGCAACATGACTAATTTAAAATATTTTTTTTAATGCAACTTCTAGTCCTTCTGTTCTGAAAGATAATGTTACCAACTCAGTGTTTTGCCTGCCTCTGTAGAGACAGTCAATGCTTCCACATTGCCCTAGCACAGAACTAGCACAATTTTACTCCACTGCCTTAGCAATGCTTCAGATTAATATTTCTTTTGTAGGAAAGGAACTAAAAGCAATAAAAGTAGTCCAGAAAGACACCACAGTTCTTTTTAGAGAACATACAAAAAATGGCAAGATAGAATTAGTGCAGTTTACCAGCCACATCTATATTTTTCACTGGAGCATGGGGGATAAGGCTCCTCCTTAAGGTGGCACAACTTTGCTAGCAAAGTTCTCCAGCAGGTGCACAGAAACAGTCATAACTGGTCAGCTTCAGAAAAGTTAACACAACTACAAGAAACTTCAACTTTCAGATAATTTCTTCATGAAAATCTAAAACCTGAATAATCAGCAGCAGCATAAGTTCTTACACCTCCAATATCATCCCTAAAACAGTTAAGACAGTGATCTTAAAGACCACTAAAAAAAGAGAATATAAAGGAGACAGTACTCCAAATCCCACAGATGTTCCTTGTCAGAACTCTTTCAAGTCTCGAGATGAGAAAAGAGAAATGAGACATGCAAGCTTTCAAAGAGTGAAACAGATCTTCGACACAAATAATTTCCATTAACTAGAAATTCCTCCTCCTCTACCCCTGCCCAGGATAACAAATACACTGTGTGGGAACACTATTGCCAGAGCACTGCCAGGTCTGTCTACCCACTCAGATCTTCCCTTGGCGTTCAGTTTAAGGTATTTATGAAAATATAGTAACATCAAACATACACAGAAAGATGTAGATGATACAAAAAATAGCCAAGTACACAGCATTTGCTCCTTCCCCATCAATTCAAGTTTTATCCTATTATCCTAGCAAAATTAGACCATCAGACAAGCTGTTCAGTGACTGTTAAAATCCTCTGTTCTATAAAACTGATGACAGTAATTGGAGGTGGGGAGGAAGGGAAGAAAGAAATTAACTTCTCATTTAAGGATATAAAGTACTGCCTGCCTGCCCCTGGTTCCACTTTAACCGAAAAATCTGCAGAGTCACACATAGACTCTGAGAAAGAACAGTCATGTCTTAAGTCACACATTCCAAACCCTTTTCTACAATCATCAATGACCTATAGAGAAAATTTCACAAAATTAACAGAAATATGGAACACCTCTAATAGAAAAATAATTTCATAAGTAACTGAGCTTTTCTTCAAGCTTTCATTAAAACACTTTATAAATTGTCAAATAATAATTTATACATCTTACCTGCTTTTTTCTTGAAGTTGCCTTGGGCAACAGACTGGCTGACAAAACTGATGCAAACGGCGAGCAACACAGCTCAGGAAAAGGATTTGGAATTGATGGGATCTCCAAAATATTGTCATCTTTTTTTCTCCTATTTCAACAGAATACATGATATCAAGTGATAATTGTAACAGCTGCTGTTAAAATTGCAATATCCAACCACAATACAAGACTAAGGCACTAAGACCATCATACTTCCTGGTTGCAGCAATTAGCTTTCTTTGTGCAGTTATTTTATTTAATCAGTAGGCTGAATATATTAACATACAGTGCCTAGCACTACTTGAAAGCAATCCAAGTATTCAGCTCTGAATATAAAGTTGTCTGAATATGTGTAAGTCTTTGCAGAGTAAGAACACAGATATATTTATATTGGCTTCTAAGGACATTAGTAAATATTTTGTTGTCCCTGTGTTTATGCCAATCCCTATGTACACATATTACAACAGTGGATGAATGTAACTTCTCAGTAAAACTTCCCAAGTATATCACAACAGTATTTTAAACAAATGGAAACTTTTTTTCACCAGGAGTCAAAGTGACTGACAAGGCAAAATACTGCAAAGCAACACATTCATTTCTGTTTTCAGTTAGTTTTGTACTTGAATCTCCACAGCTCCATCATAAAATAAATGTCTCAATTGTTGCTGGTTACTTAAATAGGATTGTGTCAGAAGTACCACCAAGAAGCATTTGCAAGATTAGTGAAGATAATCACTACTGTACTTGCTGAAGAGCTCAGTTATGCACTGGTTTAAAGTATCACATTAATAATGTGGTTGTTTAGACTGCTGTGTACATTATAGTGCACCGTTTTCTCACATAAAATATTGAACAGCACTTTGCCTACTTGATTTCATTTGGAGAGCAGCACCCAAAGCACTTGAAGTATTTGCGTCTGCCAACGTGTGAGTTGATGGTTCCAAGCTTAATATTTTACTTTATTGTCTTCTTTATTATCATTCCAGATTTCATATACTAATTAGAACAAAGTATGGAAAACCATCAAAGCAAGGTAATTATACAGCACGAAGATGTTTTCCAAAGTGATATTTAGCTGCAGAAGGAGCAAAAAATCCTGTAGGCAGTTTTAAGGTTTTGTAAACTTCAGTCTACCAAAACTCATCAGATGCTTCACGAAAAACCCTAGCTCCCAGCTTCCTTTACGAAGAACAGAGACCAATGCCTTTAAGAACAGCCTGAGAGGTAAAAAGCAGGGTGCACACCGCTGACAGCAATTGCAGCGGCATCGCTCACGGTGAAGCGGTTTTATGACACGAATATTCTGAGAAAGGCACTGCAAGGATAAAGTAGCGGCTGGCTCAACCTGACAAGGCAGGCTCGGCACTCCGGCTCCTTTCACCTTTAACTGGGAAACCTCAAAAAAAAAAAAAAAAAAAAATGGGTGGAGGGACACACACGGATTCGCAGCGGAGAAAAGTGTCTGCAGGGCCGGGAAACAACTTTTGAGCTCCAGGGAGGCGCGGGCCGGTCCCGGGCCAGGCAGCCCCCTCCTGCGCTTCGCCCCGAGCCGCCGCTCCCCGGCCCCCCCGGCCCCGCGTCCCGCCCGCAGGGCGCTGCGGAACCCCGACGGCACGGGCGGCCCTCGGGGGAGCGGGGGGCGGCGGCGCCCGCCCGGGCTCCGGCCTTACCTGTCGGGGGGCGCGGGCGGCGGGTCGCCCCCTGGGGGTCGGGGCGGCGGGCGGGGGAGCCGCGGGGGCCGCCGCCAGCGGGTTCCGCTGCCCGCCCAGCGCCGGGCACATCGGGCAGCGGGGCGGCCATCGGCGGCGGCGACGTCCTGGCGGGGCGGCACGGCCGGCGAGCGGCCCCGGCGCTGCCGGGCGCGCCGGGCGGAGGCTGCTCTCGCTCCCGCTGCGGAGGAGGGGGAGGCGACGGGGAGCGGGGAGGAAGCGCCGCCCGGGCGGCACCGAGCGCCTTCCCCGGCACACGTGCGCGGGCGGCGGCGGGGGCGGGCGGCCGCCGGCTCCGCGCTGCGACGGGGAGGCAGCGCCTGGGGCGGGCGGGGGCCGAGCCGTGCCCTTCGGCCGCCCCGCAGGCCCGGCGGCGGAGCCAGGCGGGCCCGGCAGGTGCGCGGCCCCGGCGGCCGAGGCCGCGGTGTGACCCCGCGGGGCCGGGGCGCCGAGGGCAGCGGGAGGCCCGCCGAGCGGGCCCTGCCCCCCGGTGCCTCAGCCCCTGCCCCGAGCGGGGGTCCCGCAGCCGGCGCTACCCTCGGCCTGACACGCGACCTCGTGCCCCGGGCGGGGCAGCGGCTCCGGCCGCACTCCGCCGGACGGGCCTGGCACTCGGCTCGACGCCTGACAAATCATTAACTAAGCTGCCCCGTCCCTCTGTGCGTCGGGAATTTGTGATTATGCCTTGGAGAAATAAGGAATGACCGAGGCGGGGTAACAGACCCATTGCCTTGTACCAGAAAAGCAGCTCGTGGGCTCCTGGCTGGGCTCAGGACCCACGTCCAGCCAGAGCTCCGAGGAAAGGGAAGAGGTTTTCCCTCCCCTGCAGCCTGCACCTGCCCCGCTTTAGGTACACAAAAACCTTAGTGGCATTTCCGTGACCCTCCTTATCAGCATTTATCCTGTTTCAAAATACAAAATGCCACCTGGCTGTACGAAGAACAGTTTGATAGCACCAAGCAGAGTACGTAAATTTGTGCAAAGTAGTCAGTTTCACAGTCAAAAAAGGAAAGACCAGCCCCCGGCAGAGACAGCTGGACGTAGAAACCTTCTGACTGTCCTTGGCATGCTCAGGGGCAGTAACTGAGATGTCAGACTGGTGAAAATACAGAACACTTTGAGGCAATTGCTTTGCTGTTTTCCTGAACCCACTGAAGAAATCATCACACACAAGCCCAAATTTCAATTCTGGAGAAGGATTTTTCTGTCACAGAAGCAATACTTACGGTTTTCATTTTGGCTGAGTCACAGATGATTTTGCAGGACATTTATTTTCAATGGAACGAAGGATTCCTTGTCCCCTGAACAGCTCATTCTCTTATGCTGACAGCAGAAATATAAGTCTGAGTTGATTAACAGTTCTTACATACAGAGTTTGGCAAATATATCAGGAATTTTACAGGGTCAGACAATTGACTGGATTTGCTCACTGCTTGTGAACAGCTATCTTTTTACACAACTGCACAGACTAGATCACGGTGGTTTTTTGCCTAATTGATTCACAGGCATAAACATGGCATGTCTCAAAACAATAGAAGGAAGGACAACTGGTATAGGTGCTCTAGGTAGAAAACTTAGGTTGGCAAGAGATAAAAACGTGCAGGTGGCAATTGTATGCTGATATTCATCAACATTTAAAAAGTTCAGCCACAAAAAGAAATTATGTTTTTAACTTTTCACCTAGTCTGTGCAACTTGTTACATAGTTGCCAGCTGACATACCTGCCACGTTTTTGTCTTTGGCTTAGTCATGTAATTGTTTTAAAAGGCCAGGCAAATAAAAAACACAATTAGAAGGAATAATAGCAAATAAATTAAATACTTCTATTTTTCTAAATAGAAATTAGCTAAGAATCTAATTAGTCATGACAGCAACAATGCCACTTGTAGGAAAGATCAACAAAAAATGCTATTATAATTTCACTTGCACGTAGTAATAAATAAATTAAGTTTTTTCATTATCTCATAACCTGTCCTGATCCTTGCTGCTGTCAGTGTTTTCTATGGGAATAGCACTGTATGTGGAAAATACAGTCAGTGGAATACAGAGGCAAAGAAGGACCTACATGATTGCTTCAGTGTAGCATTGGAAATGTTGCTTAGGGGAGAATGTGAAACTAAAGGTTCTCCTGACTTACTGTTTCTCTTTGCAAATAACTCTAAGAATAAAAAAGGCTTCCTGAGCTTGGCTAAAGATATCTGAGAGCATTTGACCCAGAATCTGTGCAGGCGTAACCTTCTGTAACTCTTTGTTTGAATAAGTACAAAGCCAGTAATCTCTGAACAATTAATAGAGTTAATATTAAAAGGCTGGCAGATTCCTGCTAAGTCCTGACACCAAAATATTTGTTGAGCTGTGTGACTTGATTTCCTTTTCATAGTAAATACACCTAAACTGCCTAATGTGGTTTTTGATACTTGCTATGCTTGTGCAGCACAGTGGTTCTTGTTTTAAGACTTACCATTCCCCTAAAACTAAATTTCTCAGCATTCTTCAATATTCAACTCAGTAAGTCTGGGTTTTTTTCCCCCTCTTTTAATTTAATCTTTGTTAGTCCTAATCAGGTCCAGGTGTTTACCAAGTAAAATTAAAATATACGTTGAGAAAAATCTCAACAGATTCAAGCTATTCAGTATGCACCCCACTTCCAGAAAATCAAGCTCTTCAGTTCTCAAAAGCCTATGTGCTGTTTAAAATCACAACACTTGATTAATGTGACAAAATTATGCCTTTAATTAGAGTAAACTTTCACAGTTATTCCTGACAGAGTGAAGGTTTAGAAAATCCAAGCCACTTGTGATTATCTTTGAAAACTGTAGAGGATTTTTGTTGGATTTTTTGGGTTACCACTCCACACATTCCCCCTTGCTTTTATCAAAATATTCACAAGTGGTTTTGTATGTATAATGGCTTTACCATAAAAGGCTTCACTACAATTTCTTAAAGATGGTTACACTAAGAAAACTAATGTCATACTTTACACCATCTTTTCTCTTAGCTGCAGTAGTACACAGGAGAATTATCTCTACTGAAGTACAAGACTGAAGCCACAGAAATAGCTACCTTTTCTAGTGCAAGGCTGTAACCAGTCATTAGTCTTGTCTCCCCATAAAATGTTTTCTCTAAAAGCCCCCCAAAATAAATTGCATCAGAAGTAATGATACAGAGGATCACATTAAGAAAAAAGTTCAGTAAAAAAGGCATGCCCCAATTTAAATGTATTTATCAACTTAATGGACTTAGAATACGTTGAACACATATTATGATCCTGGTAAAATGAGCTGTGCATTCTTGTTCTTGAGCATTTCAAAAGCCCATTTTAAACTTTTTAAATGGGCCCAAGTACTTCATGAGAGCCAAATTTATCCATTGAGCATTAGTAGAGATACCACTAGCTAACTCCTTGGCAGTAGTCCAAAAGTCTTTGAAAAGTATCTGTGATTGAATGTTTCGTGAGGGGTCTTTCCTATTACAGCTCGCACTGATGTTAAGTTTAGAATGATTACTAAAACGTGTATCTCTTATTGCGGATAAGGAAAAGGTTCCAATGGATTAAATCAGTACAACCTGTCTCAGTCATTCCCACAAGCTGCTTTTCAACCTAATCTGAAACTCACTGTGGGTACAGTAACGCAAATTGCAGCACAGTAACACTCTGGTGTTCCCCCTGACTAAATGCTCTTTTTCAGTACTTACTATCAAGAAGCAGATTTGCACTTGTGATTTGCACTGTGACAGCTTTGTCCTCAGACAGAACATCCCCCGATGGAATTTCGCCTTGAGCTGTAACAAAGGATCAGAATTAAATCCTGTGTGGGGTTTTGAGAATAGGAATGATACCCTTCAAATCAATCAAATTAAATCAAATCAAGGGCTTATGATTTCTGAAAGGTCGTTGCAGCTAAGAACAAATAATTAGGTTCAGTGTAGGGTTGACTGGGTGGCATGTAGGGCTTGTGACGCGCAGGTCAGACAACGTGACATACTGGCTTCTGCTCCCTGCACTGAGGCTGCATCAAATCAGTCACTCAGCAACATCTGTAATAAACGATGCATCTGCAATGGCCAACCTTGAACTTCTCTAAGGCATCAAGTTTCCTCCTAGAGAGAACTGTAATAGTCCAGGGTGCATATTACATATGTATGGATTACAGTGGCTAGGTCTGCATCTAATGGTAGTTGAAGGTTGTCAGTTCACTTCCAGAAATAACTGCAGCAGTATATTATGTGGTTCATTTGTCCATAACTACCCTTAGTACCACAACATCTACTGGACTAGATGTAATCTTCTGGGTAGTTATGGACAAATGAACCACATAATATACTGCTGCAGTTATTTCTGGAAGTGAATTGACATGTGGATGACTTTAAACATCACATAAATCTATTTAGCTAAATTAAACAGACGATGTTTCACAACAGCAGAGTACTGCTGATACTTTTTACAGCCCTATTTCTGTAACTCCACCTCACACAAAGAAGACAATTTCTGATCTTGCATGCCCTCCAAATCCTGCACAAAACCCCACAACTATTATGGAGGGAAGGTTTCAGGTGACTAAGTTATCTATGGTACTCCTTGTGTTTATCCAGCACATAGAAGTTCAGTTTACATAATGTGAGTTGTTGGGAAATCAGATTCAAATCCTTAATGCTAATCATTTTGTAGAGTGAGAAACAAAATACAAGCATTAACCCCCACAGAAAAAACAACCAACCAAACAAACAAAACCAAAACCCAACAAACCCAAACCAAAAACCAACCAAAAACACCAAACAAACCCAAGCCAACCCCCAAAAAACCCCAAGAAGAAATGTAGAGGTAAAATGACTTTCTACAAACAGCCACAGTCTCAGCCATTTCTGAGCTGCTGCCAAGGACACTGAAACAGCAGAACCAGACAAAGCGCAGTAAGACTCTCCAGATATGTGCAAAGAGGAAGACAAATGTCAGGTTCTTTTGGGCTAAAAGAAACAACATACCTGCTCAGACTCAAGGCAGGCAGCATTCCACTTCTGTTATCAGTGTACAAGGATGCTATATGAAATTTGAAGATAAAATGGATTCTGCATTTTGAAAAATTGATGTCCAGAGATTCGTTTGCC